CTCCCAGTCTCTATTCAAGCCCAAATTAATGGTGCTAAGTTTGCAAATAAATTGTATCTCAACAGTTTCTCTTTGACTGTTTCTGAAGGTTTTTTTGTTGAAGGATGGCTACTTTTAAATCAGTTATTGAATGTCCAGGGAGATTGAAGTGTTCTCCTACTGGCTTTTGTATGTTACCATTCCTGATATCTGATTTGTGTCCATTCATTCTTTTACGTAGAGACCGTCCGCGTTGGCCAATGTACATGACAAGGGGCATTGCTAGCACATGATGGCATATATCCCATTAGTAGATATGCAGGTGAATGAGCCCCTGATGGTGTGGCTGTTTGGGTTGGGTCCTGTGATGGTGTCGCTAGAGTAGATATGGGGACAGAGTAGGCAACGGGACTTGTTACAGGGATTGGTTCCTGGGTTAGTGTTTCTGTGGTGTGGTGTGTATTGAGTATTTGCTTCAGGTTGGGGGACTGTCTGTAAGCAAGGACTGGCCTGCCTCCCAAGGTTTGTGAGAGCGAGGGATTGTTTTCCAGGATAGGTTGTAGATCATTGATGATTTTCTGGAGAGGTTTTAACTGGGGGCTGTACGTGATGGCCAATGGTGTTCTGTTTTCCTTGTTGGGCCTGTCCTGTAGGAGGTGACTTCTGGGTACCCATCTCGCTCTGTCAGTCTGTTTCATCACTTCCCCAGGTGGGTATTGTAATGTCATCAATGTAGTGCAAGTAGAGGAGGAGTGCTAGGGGACAATACAAACTAACATGGCTACCTCTCTGATACTTGACACGCAAATGAGTTAGTCTTAGATATAAAAGGTAATATAAGCTTCCATAATAAACAGCTCAATACTTCCTTTAGGGCTGACCCATGCCAAGCAGCATGGGGATCTCTTGCTTATGTTTAGGAATCTTTGCTCCTCAGAGTCTAGACAGCATGAAGAGACCAGTTTCTCCTTGTCAGGATTTTTATGCCCCCTCACCTCAGAATCCAATCTGATGGGATGAGTTCGTGTATAGGTCCCCCTTTCTTGGAGTGAGTCAGGAATAGAATCACCAAAGTCTCTGTCCACTGATGCTACACAATGCCTCATTTGCCTTCAGTGGGGCATTTTGTGTGCAGGGCGAATACTTTACCTTAGTTCTTCTTTTCCTGGTGAGTTACATAATTACTGAAATTTACAATGCAAACACTCAATATAACTTTATACCATGGGATACAGATATTATAGGATTAATATATGCAGCATTCTAAATACAAACACATTCTTGTATCACTAATATCTATTTTAACTATACTAACCCCACACATAAGCCAGACTGGTTTCCAACTATGCGTTTATCAGTGTTCAGTGAGGCTCTGGGCCTTTGTGCCTGCCAGCATCACAGTGTTTTTAAAAATGCATTTTAAAGGTGTCTGATTAAAGAAGTGTCTTTCAGTTGTCTGAATTTAACTTCAATTGATAACTCCATTGAGTTTATCATCAAACAAATTGTAAAAGGTGGCTAACAATTCCAGACTTAGATATGATATCAGTCAGCATGGGCTCAAATGTAGATGACCTCTTACAGCAGCTCCATGGTCACAAGGCTACTAATTGTTATTACCAAGCACCTGAAAACAGCATCTCTTCAGCAGCACTGTCTGTAGAGTAATGTCTAGTTATTGGAAACAGCAAGATTTTATGCGTTTAGCTAGGATAGGTTATCAAACTATAGAAAATGAGCTACAAGCTGTCAAATCCAAACTATAGACTAAATAGGTTGCATGATTAATTCCAAAACAGAAATTTAATTATAATATATCTAGCACTTTATATAAGAACGGCTATACTGGGTCAGACCAAAGGTCCATTTAGCCCAGTATACTGTCTTCCAACAGTGGCCAATGCCAGGTGCCCCAGAGGAAATGAACAGAACAGGTAATTGAGTGATCCATTCCGTTGCCTATTCCCAGCTTATGGCAAACAGGCTAGGGACACTGTCCCTGCCCATCCTGGTTAATAGGCATTAATGGACCTATCCTCCATGAATTTATCTAGTTCTTTTTTGAACCCTGTTATAGTCTTGGCCTTCACAACATCCTCTGGCAAGGAGTTCCAAAGGTTCACTGAGTTCTGTGAAAAAATACTTCCTTTTGTTTGTTTTAAACCTGATGCCTATTAATTTCATTTGGTGGCCCCTAGTCTTTGTGTAATGAGAAGGAGTAAATAACACTTATTTACTTTTTCCACACCAGTCATGATTTTATAGACCTCTATCATATTCCCCCTTTGTCATCTCTTTTCCAAGCTGAAAAGTCCCAGTCTTATTAATCTCTCCTCATATGGCAGCCATTCCATACCCCTAATCATTTTTGTTGCCCTTTTCTGAACCTTTTCCAATTCTAATATATCTTTTTTGAGAAGGGGCGACCACATCTGCACACAGTATTCAAGATGTGGGCGTACTGTGGATTTATATAGAGGCAATATGATATTTTCGGTCTTATCTGTCCCTTTCTTAATGATTCCCAACACTCTTCGCTTTTTTGACTGCTGCTGCACATTGAGTGGATGTTTTCAGAGAACTGTCCACAATGACTCCAAGATCTTTCTTGAGTGGTCACAGATAATTTAGACCCCATCATTTCATATGTATAGTTGGGACTATGTTTTCCAATGTGCATTACTTTGCATTTACAGCTTATTATAAAATATTATTTATATTAGTGAGGATGCTAATAATCATCATATTTTAGGGTTAGTAGAAGAGAAATTCTAATTGTTATTCCCACCTCTGGATTTCCTTGTTTGTCAATTCTTGTGCTTGTTTCTTAGACCATAAGCTCTTTAAGAAAGGGAGTGACTTTAGTTCTGTGTTGTACAGTGTCAGCACTAAGGGCTGTAGTGCTTAGTGAAGATGCTACCTATGCTGATAGGAGAGCTTCTCCCATTATCATAGGTACTCCACCTCCCCGAGAGATTGTAGCTGTGTCGACGGGAGAAACTCTTCTGTCGACATAGTACTGTCTACACCAGGCCTGCACAACATGCGGCCCGCGTGGGCTCATTGTGCGGCCCGCGGGGGTTGAGTAGATGGGCTCACTGTACGGCCCCCGGGCGGAGGGGGGGGGTGGAGTAGACAAGCGGCGGGTGAGGGAGGGGGGCTGAGTAGGTGAGCGAGCGGGCAGTGGCAGGGAATGAGTAGGCGATCCGGGAGGGTGGAGGCCTGAGGAGGCGAGTGGGCGGGCAGTGGCAGGGGGTGAGTAGGCGAGCCGGGGCAAGGGAGCTGAGGAGGTGAGTGGTGAGTCGGTTGCTGACCTGTTCATTGATCATAGAATCATAGAATCATAGATTATAGGACTGGAAGGGACCTCGAGAGGTCATCGAGTCC